ATACTCCCCAGGGAGTAGAGAAGGTTGCACAACTAGGTATACTCCCCAGGGAGTAGAGAAGGTTGGACTTTGTACTGGTTTGCCATTGTATGTTACCCAGTGACCAGGGGTAGTAACGCTCAGCGCCTTTGATCATTGATTTGGAATCGGTGCTATATAATTACTTGGCATTATTATGTACAGGGTGTTTGTATTTGACCATAGCCCTAAGGGTATTGATATAAAACATATTAAACACAACGTATGTTTGTGGTCATCATACCTGTCCACTGTATATGGATCATATCACCTTCATTAATCTCCAACCGTGTTGGCGTGAAATCATACTCTATCGCTGGGTACACCTGAACTATGTTGCCGCGCTTTCCACGCACGTTTAAGTTTACGATCTTTGCTGATTCAATACCTGAAATAAACACCACATATTAACATTACTATAATAACAATGAAATTAAAATAATGTAAAATATAATAACTTACATTAATTAAAAGCACCTACAATACATTAAAAGCATTTAAATTACAGTTAATTGAAATAAATGTAAAGTAACTGTAAACTTAAAGCACGTGCCTTTACGATTTGGTCGGGGTACAATCTTGAAGGCGTGTGACCTGTCTTGAAAGACGCGGCCGTACTGAGCGGTGTTAACAGCGAGACGCAATGGAACGCTGTCTGCCCCAACGTCCACATTCGGATTATTCTGGATCGGTGATATCTCGCCTGTTTGACTTCAGTAAAAAATAAAATGTAGTTAGTAATGTAACTTGGTTGTTTAATATCCACAAAATCAACATGTGCAGCATCATAATTCAAATTAACATCAAGCTACAAAACCCTCTTATTAAAAAATTATAAGAATCATCACAACTTTATTATTAGCTTATAAACTTCATAACATTTTCCATCGTCATCATCATCATTACCATTTATTTCAGCATCATCATCATCATCATTAAGGCAACTGTCCAATTTTTATTTAATTTATTATATTTCGTCAACAGCGATAAATCGCTGTTTTGTCTATTGTCACAGTCATCCATTTAGCATCATTACTATCATAACCATCTCTACCATTACCACCAACCATGATATTCATGAGTTTTTGATAACTGCAGCATATAATTTATAAGGCTGTTTATGTAAATAATAGTAAACTATTTGTTCATGGTCAGTTTCAGATCTTGAATATTACACTAAGTATAGTTGTGTGCATAAATCACACATGCAGATTTTGATATAATTAAGCCAATTTTAACATTTACTCCTCAAACATAGCTTGTATACTCACTAGTTCTGATTGTGGCTGGCATCAGTATTGGCTGGATCATAATCGTCTGTACTAATGTTATACCTGAATTGAGAAATAAAAATAATATTAAAAAGAGTTGTCCAAAAGGCAACACTACCCCAGGGGGGTCTGGGGAATTCCCTGGAAGTTTCCTAGATGCCCATCAATAATTTTTTTTTTCTTCCCCTTTTTCTATTTTTTTTACTTTCTAGAAAGTGGGGGTGCAGGGCTGGCTCAAAAACCCCTCCTCCTCCTCCCAAATCTGCCCCTGCAGTACTTGAGATTAGCTTTTAGCTTTTGTCTCTCTCGAACTGTGGCAAATGCATTTGCATTACTATTATTTTTTGTAATGAACTTAAATAATTATTGTTCCATATACCGTAGTTATTGTTTGTTTTTTTTTTCCCCGAACTATTAAAAAAAAAAAAATTACTCCCATAAAATTACACATCATCAAGTTTCTTACCTCATTCTAAAAGCACATCGCTTTGTTTTTCCAGATGGAAAGTAGGGAAGTGTCATGGTATACTGTGCATTTTCCCCTGTCCTTGTGTTTC